CTATTCTTAGAACTTCGCTCACCCTGTCCCACAGGCTTTACTTCCACTGCCATCTATCCTAGAGAGTTTTTAATTTGTTTCCTGGCTTCTTCTGTAACCCATTGATTGGTCAATAACATACTATTTAATATCCCTGTGTTTGCATATCTCTGGCTTTTTCTGCTGACTCCTAGCTCCATTCTGCTGTGCTCTGATAGCGTGGGAGGGGGCTGCTGGTTAGCTCAGTTGTTTAAGTGCCTGCATATGCAAACGCAGTCAGGCGCAGAATACCACAGTTCAATCCCCAGACCTGCCCTTAAGGCAGCTAGAAAAAAAAAAAAAAAATCCTTCTGATAGTATGGAGGGCTTATTTCAACTCTTTTACATTTATTTAATCTTTTTTTTCTGTCTGACTTAATCATTCTTTATGATGTATCTTGGAAAAGTTTCCACGTGATGGTGAAAGAAACGCGTGTTCTGGCCAGGCACGGAGGCCCACTCCTGTAATCCCAGCACTTTAGAGTCTGAGGCAGGAGAACTGCTGTGAGCTCGAGATCAGCCCAGACTACATAGGTAGATCCTGCCTTAAAAAAAAAAAAAAAAAAGTGTGCCCCGCTGTTGTCCCACGAGCGCTCTGTACCCACTTGAGCTACTGGTTCAGGGACGTGATTAATGTTTCTTGAAGGTTTCTATCTGGGTGGCCTGGGTGCCTGTGGTTTCCTGCCTTGATGACTTCCCACTCTGGCTGAATGTCGTGGCTGCCCCTGGTGCCTGCTGTCCCACCTCCATCCTGAACCCTGTCCAGCCAGAGCATCAGGAACGGTGGGGGACCCAGTTCCATGGAAAAACCTAGACAGTGGCCTCCTCTCCAGCCACTCGCTCAACCTGCTTTTCCTCCCGTGACAAATAGGTGTCAAAGGTTTATAAAGAGCCAGGGACAGGAGGGTCCAGCCTGGGCAGAGAATACAGCACCTGCTGGGCACACAGTGAATGCCAGCTGCTGAGGGTTTGAAGAGGGCACACTAGGGCTGGCCTGAAAGCTTAGCACACTAGAGTGCCTGCTTAGGCAGACTGCAGCAGCTAGGGATCAATCCCGGTCTCAGGGTGTGCTGAGATGGCTATTGATTAAGACTGGGCATGGTGGCCATGCCTGTAATCCTAGCGGCTGGGAGGCTGAAGACAGGAGAATCACTACAAGTCCAATCTACATAGTGAGACCCTGTAGACCCTGCCCTAAATACAGAAAGAAAAAAAAGAAAAAGAGGGCACATGGGCACTCTGGCCCCTCAAGCTGAGATGTCACTACTGAAGGATTCACAACAGTGGGGTGGACATGGCCTGAGGTTATAAGAGTCACTGGGGGTGACAGGATGCCCTAGAAGTAGGTTTTTGTCCCTTGCTCCAGAGTACTGGATGGAGCTCCTAGGAGGAAAGGGCTGCGTGGCATATTAATTTCACTTCATAAAGCTGTTAAAAATTAAAGGAAAAATGCAGGCAGGGCTCAGCAAAGCGGTACACTGGAACAGAGGCCACAAAGAGGGTGACAAAGGAACACTAACAGCTGTAGTAAGACAGGTGCTGGGGACCCCAGGAGGATGGTGGCCCTTGTCTCAGGGAAGTGCAGACCAGGCTGGCCAGAGCAAGAAGGGTCAGGAGCAGCTGCCAGGCAACACTTGTGACTCCCACTCCAAACCAGCTGGACAACCTCCCCTCCCCAGGTCCTGACACACACAGTGACTTCAAATCCCTCAGGACAAAGATGAGAAGCAAGCTGCTTGGAGTTCAGGGCCCACTTGCCGTCCCAACATTTCTGTGTCCCAAATTCATTTGTTGGGCTTTAATTCCAATGTGATAGGATGGGCGGCTTGGCCATGGGGAGGTGGCCAGACACAGGGGAACCCTCACGAGTGCCATTCATGTCGTCAGTGCCCTAGAAGAGGGGCTGTCTTGCTCTCCGCCACGTGAGGACTTGACAAGGTGATGTCACTGACGAACAAGGAAATGAACCCTCACCCTCAGCCTCAGCCTCACCCTCAGCCTCACCAAACTCCAAATCAGCCAAGGCAGGCAGCGACCTCCTGCTAGATGCGGCGGAGAATCTGTGGAGCAGCCTCAGTTTCCCTCTGCCCCAGGTGCCATGGAGCAGCTCAGAGGGGAAGGAGGGAGGCAGCACCTACTCAGTCATTCCCAGCTCTGAGTACAATCACAGTTCCCCCGGAAATGAAGACAGGGGTGCAGTGCCTGGAGAGGGTCAGTGGGGGAAGACCCAGCCCGCAGGATGACTGGCAGAGCCGAGCAGACGGCCCCTCCTCAGGCTGGGCTGGAAACACAGGAAGGGCAGCAGCAATCTGTGAATGCTCCCACTTGGGGCTTTAGGTCAGGGCACCCATGGTCTCCCATCTAACAGCATACCACCTGCACACGTGTGTGTGCGCGCGCGTGTGTGCACACACACACACATGGTGAGAGAGCACGTCTTTGGAAAGAACCTCAGGGATAGGCTGAAGGATATACAGGAACTGGGGACATGCAGTTGGGGGAGAGAACTCTGGCTAGGGGGTGGGTACAGCTGAGGCAGGGGACACTGTACCACACATGGGGACCCTGGTTGATCCCCAGCACCACATTAAATTAAATCCAACAAAATGTGAGCAGAGAGAACCATGCTGTCAAGAGGGCAACAGGTGGGGAAAAAAGCAAGGGCCAGGGCCTGAGGGAATGGCCAGAAGCCAGGTGTCAGCACGGGAGCCTCGGAGGCGCCAGCAGGGCCCGCCACCTGTGTTTCTGGGGCCACCTGCAGAGCCCCTCTGACCACAAGGCCCTGAAGCTCAAGGGAGCTCCTGCCCCCTAGGCCACCACAGAGCAGGACAGGTACACTCCACCTTACATCTGCAGCTGAGACGGCCCAGCATGGAGGCTGGGAGCGGCGCCCACAGCAGCGCAGCTGCCTGCACCCCTGCCCTGGTGCCAGCATCTACATGGCCCCCCACCAGCTCCGGGGTTCTCAGTGTTCCCAGCCAGCCACTGTGAATCCTAGCCAGGCTTTTCCTAAGCAAAGAATCCAGCCCTAGCCAAGAGTTCCATTTCCTGGTTTTCCCCTTTGTTTTCTTCATTTGAATTGTTTTTAGTTGTATGAGCCTGGCTTTCATAAATTTTTGGAAGGCAAACAAAATTACAAAGGTATTTATTTTTGAAAGACAAACCAAAGCCTGCCTCTTGTTCTGCTGCCCATGGCAGGCTTGGTATCGGAAGGGCTCAGGCTGCCGGCTCCACCCCTGCCCTCTCTGTACTGCCCACTGGGAGTCTTGGTCCTCAGGGGCTGCCATGGAACCCTATTTTCTTAGAGTACTGTGCTGCGGGGTATTGTTACCCCAGCAGCAGCTGGGGTGGACTTCGGCCCCACTCACACAGCACCTACAGCCAGCTACTTACAAGACTTCCTGGGACTCAACTTTGAGATTCAGATCTTAACTGACTACCTGTTGGCCCCAGGACTTTGGCACCCTGACCTGCAAGCCAATGTGGCCCTAGGCGTCCTGCCCCAGCAGGTCTGCATGGCCCTGGGCGTGTTGCTTCTCTGGGCTGTAGCAGCTCAGGGCGGGGAAAGCAGGAGACTCCCAGGACCTATGCCCCGGAAAATGCCCCTGCTCGATACTCGGGAGTGCTGGGCTGAGCACAGGGTCTGTGGGTCAGCCCAGCAAGAATGAAGCACTGAGTCTCCCTCCACCCTGGCAGCCTCAGCTTCCACCCCTGACACACACACACACACACACACACCCTCACTCAGGGATCTCTGGTTTCCTGGGATGTTTTCACACTGCTCTCTGGGCCTCATGGCCACAGCAGAGCCCACTGGGCAAGAGCCACGGAGGGAAACTGCAGAGGAGGGGTTCGTGGGTGGAGCAGTGGGCTGCCAGAGGAGGTGGATGTGACTGACCGAAGCCAGACAGAGGGTGACAGGAAGAGAGGGAGGGAGGGTGCATTCCAAGTGCAGGAGCTTGGAACCCTCGGGCGGAGAAGGCACAGCCCAGTGGAACAGAGGGCTTGGCCCCCGTTTCTCTGCTAGGCACAGACCCTGCTGCGCATCCTGGAGCCAGGGTCCCTCTCTGCCTTCCCACCTGAGAGCCCTCTTCACCCTCACCATCTGCCAGTTATCGGGGCTGCATCCAGGCAGCAAACGGAGCCAGCAACTGCTCCCAGAGCCGCGCAGCTCCTGTGCGCCAGGGCTGCCTGGCCTTCATCTGTGGCCAGGTGCCCAGTGAGTCCTGGGAGGGAACACAGGGGCAGCCACGGAAGAGGACAGAGGGGGCTGAGGAGGCCCAAAGAGGGGACCCTGTCTGTTGTGGGTGAGGAGAGGGCCAGACGTCGCCATGGCCTCTCCCAGCTCCCTCAGGAAGCCCAGTTGTGTGAAAGTTAGGGGTGTCATGAGGAGACGGCGGAAGTCATCGACACGCCCATGGGTCTGCACCCCCAAGCCCCCGCGGTGGTGGGGCACAGTCAGCCGCACCCTCCCCTAGAAAGCCAGAAGGCCCCATCCACCGCTGTCGAGTCAGGAAGATGACAAAGCGGCAAATGCCAAGGGAAAGGGCAATAGTCTCCACTGAGGGTGAAGAGTGAGGAGCTCTGTGACAGCGAAAGGGACAACACTGATACAGGGGAGAGGGCGCCGGGTCCAGGCCTCCTCCCGCAGAGGCCCCAGGGAGCCGAGGACAGACCCAGGGCACGATGCCCACAGCAAGCCCGACCGATCGTGCAAACACACAAAGGAATCCCAGAAAACCTCAGGTACGCACGGGATGAGGAGCGCGGTGCGCGGGAAAAGTGTGGGGACAGACAGGGGACAGGGATAGGGGACGGGGCGGCCGGGCCAAACTGAGAGAAGCCACTCCTGGGGAGCCTCGCCAGCCCCGACCCCGGGCGGCGGGCACCGCAGGTCGCGAGGCACCGTGGGCCTCACCGTGGACCCCGCCCGAGCTCTGGATCCCAGCAGGGACCACGGCCACAAGCGCACCCGCGCTCACCCAGCATCTCCTTGCGCCGCTGCGTATGCGGCTGGTCGGTGTAGACCCACTCGAAGTCGCTGCGGCCCGCGCTGTTGCCCATCCTGCAGCTGCGAGCTCCTCGAGCCGGCAGCGCGGCACCTGTGCCCTCGCCCGGCCGCAGCTACCTCGGTTAGGGCTCGGGAGGGGCGGGGCCATGCTAATGAAGGGGCGGGGTGAGCCGGTGGGGCGGGGCCACAGAGCCCAGAGCGGGTCCACGCTGGGCCAGGAGGCGGGGCGTCCAGGCCAGATGTGGGGAGAGGCACCGCAAGGGGTCCCGGGTCGACAGGGTCGACGGCAGCGGGCCGGCTTAGTGTGGGCCAGGACCGGGAGCCCTGCGGGGCGGGGCGGGGCGTGGGCAGGCCCAGGAGGCCCGGGGATCGCGAGGGTGGGGGCAGGAGCACGGCTAGGTGTGCGGCGGGTGGGGCCAGGCGACCAGGCTGCGCAATGTGGGGGGCAGAAGTGAGGGAGGCGGGGGCGGGGCCCGTGAGCTCCGAAGGTCAGCGAGGCGGCGTGCAGGATGCATTCAGAGACGCGCACCACCTGCACCCTTTGCGTCTGGGAGGCTGGAATGCGCGGCGAGGAAAGCCAGCACAGACTGCTGCGGCCTTACCTGCCCTGTGCACGCCGCGATGACGAACAGCGACGTCAGAGAGACGAGTCTCAGTCAGGACACAGACAAGGAAGTGACCCTAAATGCTACGTGCGGTGGCACAAGACAGGCCCTTGGACAGCTAAGTAAGGTCCAGGAGACAGAACTAGCGCTGAGCCCTTGTAGGACAAGGAGGAGTGGGGCCGGGGAGATACCTCAGTGGAATAAGTGCTTGCCTGGTAAGCACAGGGTCCTGAGTTCAATCCGGGGAGCCGGGGAGATACCTCAGTGGAATAAGCACAGGGTCCTGAGTTCAATCCCGGGAGCCGGGGAGATACCTCAGTGGAATAAGCACAGGGTCCTGAGTTCAATCCGGGGAGCCGGGGAGATACCTCAGTGGAATAAGTGCTTGCCTGGTAAGCACAGGGTCCTGAGTTCAATCCCTGGTATCACAAAAAATAAAAAATAAAAAAAAGACAAGGAGTTCAACAGCTAAAATGAAAGAGGACTTTGATGGCAGAGGGGACAGCAGACGCACGGGCTTAGAAGCAAAAAGAATCTAGATATTCTCCAAGTGGAGTCCAGCTGTTTGAGCATCGAGGGAGCGACGGAGTGCCACACCCTCACCTTCTGGGGACTCTCACCATGCCCAGGGGGCACTTGGCAGGTAGGCCTGCGGGGCCTGTACACCAGAGCCTCACTCTGCCTGCACCCCAGCAGCGTGGCCCCTTGAGTGGAGTCCAGCTCCCCACTCTCAGAGTGCTTCAGCCTCACCCCAGGGGCCTCTAAGGCCTGAGGCCAGCTCCCAGCAGCAGGGAACCTGCCCCCCGCCGGTCCCTGGCCTGCAGAGGACATATGCTGTGCAGAGGGCACCTGCATAGCACAAGGGCGATGTTGGGACAAAGGACAGATTTGACTTCATGACAATGTGTCAGTCTCACTGATGGCACAGACCTGTAATCGTAGCACTTGGGAAGCTGAGGCAGGAGGATTTCTGCAAATTCAAACCCAGCCTGAGTTACACAGTGAGTTTAAGACCAGTGTAAACTGAGTCTTAATAATAATAATAATAATAATAATAATAATAATAATAGGGCCGGGGAGATAACTCAGTAAAATAAGTGCTTGCCTGGCAAGCACAGGGTCCTAAGTTCAATCCCTGGTACCGCAAATAATAATAATAATAATAATAATAATAATAATAATAATATATCAACAGTGGGGCTTTTGTTTTCCAGTGCTGGGAATTGAACCCAGGGCCTCAGGGGTGTAAGCAGGTGCTCTAGCGATGAGCTACATCCCAGTCCCCTCCTTGTTCTAATTCTCTTTTCAGTCTCACTAAATTGGAGGCTGGGAGGCCGGGGAGATGGCTCAGTAGAATAAGTGCTTGCCTGCCAGGCGCAAGGGCCTGAGTTCAATCCCCGGTTCTGCAAAAAACAACAAAAAAAATCATCAGGGCTGCACCATTCCTCATTGTTACAATAAGAGAACTTGGAGGTGAGGTAATACCTGAACTTTCTAGACACCATCACTATTTTCCTGCAATCTAGAGCAGATCCTAAAGACAAAGTTTATTTTTACTTGCTTTTTTTTTTCAGAACTGGGGATTGAACTCAGGCCCTTGTGCTTGCCAGGCAAGCACTTATTCTACTGAGCTATCTCCCCAGCCCTCTAAAGTTTATTTTTAAAATAAAGTGTGGTTGGGCCTGGTGGTGCACACTTGTAATCCCAGCATTCAGGAGGCTGAGGCAGGAGGATCAAGTTTGCGGCCAACCTGGCCTACACAGGGAGTACAAACCCAGCCTGAACTGCATAATGAGACCCTTCAGAGAGAGAGAGAGAGAGAGAGAGAGAGAGAGAGAGAGAGAGAGAGAGAGGAGAAGAAAAGAAAGGGAGGAGGGAGGGGAGGATTATAAACTGGGCATGGTGGCACACTGCCCTAATCCCAGCATTCAGGAGGCTGAGGCAGAAAGATATCAAATTTCAGATCAGCATGAGTAACTGAGCAACTTAACAAGACCCTGTCTCAGGGCTGGCCAAATAGCTCAGCAGATTAAAGTGCCTGCAAGCAGGCACAGGGACTGGGGGTTCAATCCCCCGGGCCTGTGCCGGCCCCACCCTCAGGGCACTCTGAGACAGCGATTGAGACTGGGCATGGTGGGAATGCCTGTAATCCCAGCTGTTGGGAGGCTGAAAACAGGCAGATTACTGTGAGTCTGATCTAGTAGTGAGACCCTGAACACTCTATAGACCTTTCCCTAAAATACGACAAATAAATAGACCCTGTCTCTTTTTTAAAAAATATGAAAAAGGGCCTTTTTACCAAGATGGCGCCGAAAGCAAA